CCAAACAGTTATATTTATCGAATCCGCTATTTATCATCCGCTATCCATTATTTGCTATCCGCTATCTACTTTTTGCTATCCGCTATCCACTTTTTGCTATCCGCTAACCGCCACCCGCTACCTACTACCGCTACCCACTATCCGCTATCTACTGAATTTTAACCGTTATACCAAACAAGCCCTATATCTTGTTGTACTAAATTAGTTCAAAAAGCACTGAGCTTTTTAAGTCAAGTGGCAATAGCCACCTAACGGTGCACTCTTTCTTCTCCTTGGATTGGGGTTCGATTCAGTCCCATGTCAACTTATTCAAAAAAAAAAAAAAATCTTATTGTACTAAAACTAAATTTAGGGGTGATATTATTATCATATTTTTAATTATTAATGTCATATTTTTTAATTTTAATTTATTATTATATTATTTAATTTATTAACAAAATAAAAAAGATAAAATTTTAAAAAATATACTTATTTGTTTTTAAACATGTCCTTATTAGTCATTTAATGTTAAATAACAACCGCTAACCATTGTATAGCCAAACAATTATATTTATCGAATCCGTTACCCATTTTTCGCTATACGCTATCCACTTTTCGCTATACGCTATCCACTTTTCGCTATCCGCTATCTGCTAACCGTCACTCGCTACCTGCTACCGCTGTCCACTATCCACTATCCGCTAAATTTTAACCGCTATACCAAACAAGCCTTATATCTTGTTGTACTAAATCAGTTCAAAAAGCACCGAGCTTTTCAGGTCAAATGGCAATAGCCATCTCACGGTGCACTCTTTCTTCTCCTTGGATTGGGATTCGATTTAGTCCCATGTCAACTTGTTCAAAAAAATAAAAATCTTATTGAACTAAAACTAAATTTAGGGGTGATATTATTATCATATTTTTAATTATTAATGTCATATTTTTTAATTTTAATTTATTATTATATTGTTTAATTTATTAAAAAATAAAAAATATAAATTTTTTTAAAAAATATAATAAATAATTATATTAAGAAATATAATATTAATTATTTAAAATTTGATAGTAACCTTATCGAGGATCCAGTAATCCATGGATAAATTTTATTAAAAGAAACGACAATTGAGTTGATATCATTAACCAAAGAACCATACAAAACAATACATCAAAAAAAAAAAAAAAAGAACCATACAAAACAATACTTAATGAATTATGGTGGCTATGATTAATGAGTTTAAGTGATTTAGTAATTATTTAAAAAA